CTGAACCGCCCCAAAGCCCTGAACGCCCTCTGCGATGGCCTGATGAACGAGATGAGCCGGGCGCTGGACGCCTTCGAGAAGGACCCGCACGTGGGGGCCATCGTCATCACGGGCAGCGAGAAAGCCTTCGCGGGTAGGCGGGGAGGGCGCTGCCGGCGGGCTGGGCTTGAAGGGGAGGGGAGTTGGTGACGCCTGTCCTGGATCCAGGCTTGGATGGAAGAGACCCCACATGATTGGCGGCTCCCTCCGCCATTCAGAGACGCGTTAGAGATGGGGCAGGCCCCCTTGGCCCTAGTGGGGGCCGCTTCCCAGAGCTGGCCCCCAGTGCAGAGCTAGAGAAACCTCGTCCGGGGGCAACACAGTGAAGCCGAGCGTCACCCAGCTGCCAGCTCGAAGGGCGAATTCCCGCGTCCACCCGGCTGCAGCTTCGCAGAGGCGGATTTACTGCGGCGCCGGGTGCCAGCGCTGCGGGGGCGCGGTGACTGCGGTTCTAGTGTAGACGTGCCCTCCGTCTCTGTCCGCTTGGATTTGAAATGTCCAAGCACTAGAGCTACCAGCCCTTCCGAGGGAGGAAAAAAAAGTCACAACCGAGTCATGGCTAGGGCCTGGCTGGGCCATTGAGAGCCCCGAGGGCGGGGGATTATTTTCAAGGCCAGGATGCTGTAATCCCGTCTGCCAGGCACATTGTGACAGGTTGGGGAGGCTCAGCGTCCGCACGAGAAGTCCTCCTGCTCTACGCCGCGCTGAGGATTACGCCCAGTTCTGGGCACCTCATCTCAGGAAAGATGTGGGCTGATTGGAGAAGTCCGGAGAAGAGCAACCAAAATGATTCGGGGTCTAGAAAACATGAGCTAGAAGGGAAGACTGAGAGAACTGGGCTTATTTAGTTTAAAAAAGAGAAGACCGAGAGGGGCAAGATGGCAGTTACAAGGAGGAGGGAGAAAAATTGTTCCCCTTGGCCTCTGAGTTCAGGACAAGAAGCAATGGGCTTCAATTGAAGCAAGGGAGGTTTAGGTTGGACATTAGGAAAAACTTCCTCACTGTAGGATGGTGAAACACTGGAATAAATTACCCAAGGGGGTTGTGAAATCTCCATCCCTGGAGATATTTAAGAGCAGGTCAGACAGACACCTGTCAGGGATGATCTAGACCATGGGTCCCCAAACTGGGGGGCGTGAAGAAATTCCGGGGGGGGGAACCCAGTTCCTTCCCCCCCATCAAGTTTTGCTAAGTTTTGCTGCAGTTCCTTTTTTTTTTTTTTAATTGCTCTTTTTTTCTGCTATTTTTTTGGGGGGGGGCATAAGGGTTTTTCAAAAATCCAAAAGGGGGCGTGGTGCCGAAACGTTTGGGAACCACTGATCTAGGCGGTGCTTGGCTTTGCTGTGAGGGCGGCGGGCTGGTCTTTTGAGGTCCCTTCCAGTTCTAGGGCTCTATGATTCTGTGATCATGTCCCTGTCTCAGCTTACTTGACCTACTGCTTCTCTTAAAAGTAACCCCGACGATCCCTGTGTGGGAAGGGAGTAGAGAAAATCCTGTTTCAGCGGTTCCTCAGCACAGCCCCTGAGCCCTTTCCCCCATCTGTCCGCTTCTCGCACAGTAACAGGAGGAAAGAAAACACTTTCAAAATAGGACGATTTCGGTGACTTTTTTTGCAAACCACAAATCTTAGCAGGGCAACTCGGAGGCAGGGATTGGACCTGCCAGGATTTCAAGTTGCCCCTGTAAAGACAAAACAGTTCCATGCTTGCCATGCTGGAGAGACTAGGTGCGGGAGGTGATATCTTACGGGACCAGCCGTTGCTGGGGAAAGAGAAGCTGTTGATCTTCTGCATGTTCTCCTGAATAACATCTCCTATCCGACCGAGCTACAGCAGCATGGGAGGGCGGGTCACTTCCCACGTCCCCCTCTACCCCCTCTTCTCTCTCTCAGCTGGAGCAGATATCAAGGAGATGCAGAACCGAACCTTCCAGGAATGCTACGGGAGCAATTTCCTTGCAGAGTGGAACAAAGTCTCCATGGTCAAGAAGCCGGTCATAGCCGCGGTGAATGGCTACGCCGTGAGTTTGGCTTTTCTGTTCCTTAATCCACCCCGCACCCCTGGGTAAATATTGTACCGTGGTGACTTCCCGTTGTCTCAGCCAGCTCCGTGCAGACCCCGACGCCCGTCATACCTGGGACTCGGGATGGTCCTTTTATGGAGAGGGCTAATGGGAGATTTCTCTGCGTCAGAGCAGCAGGATAAGGGAACTGCATGCACGTACCTCGGCATAAATAAACGCCCCCTGCGGCTCTGGCTGTGGCGTGTGTTGCTCCTGCCTGGCTCTGGAAGCAGCTCTGCCTTCCTCCCTTACCCACGTGGGGCATGTCCCATCCCTCACCCCTAGTCCCTCCCGACAGGCCCCGGAATACTTTGCGCTGAGTTTGTCGTTGGGCTCCTAGAGTGAGTTCTGTAGCTCTGCGCTGGTGAGGGCATCGGATGGGAACTTAGGTTCAATTCCTGGCGGTGGGTGACTGGGTGAGTGACTTTACCGTGTGCCTCAGTTTCCCCTCCCCTGCTGTGTGGATGAACACAGCACGGACTGCGAGGTCTCGGGTCCCAGGGGACCTAGACACCCTTGTGTGCCGGCTGGTGCTGTGCTCGTTCTAACCCGCGCCCCGCTCTCCCCTGCAGCTGGGCGGTGGCTGTGAGCTGGCCATGATGTGCGATATCATCTATGCTGGCGAGAAGGCGCAGTTTGGACAACCCGAAATCCTGCTGGGCACCATCCCAGGTAACCCCCGTGGAGTACACGGCCGCTGGCCAACCTGTCGTGTGGCCAAGCTGCTTCCCAGACTGGACACTGTCCAGAGGCTTAGGAAATAAATGCTCCTAGTTACTGTGAGCCTTCCAGCGACTCGTGTGGAAACTGACCCCTCCCTATCACTCAGAAATACGAGTGGGACCAGTTCAGACCAAGGCATCTCTCGTGGGCTGGTTTGTTTGGAATCCCGAACTACATCAAGCGGCCAGACTGGGTCTACCTCAGGGTTCTCTCTTCTGATACACAGAGGCTAGGGACCCCCCGGCCAATAGCCACTGATGGACCTATGCTCCGTGACTTTATCTAGCTCTTTTTTGAACCCTGTTAAAGTCCTGGTCTTCACAGCATCCTGTGGCAAGGAGTTCCACAGGTTGACCGTGTGGTGTGTGAAGAAAAACTTCCTTTTGTTTGTTTTAAACCTGCTACCTGTTAATTTCATTTGGTGACCCCTAGTTCTTGTATTATGGGAGCAAGTAAATAACTTTTCCTTATTCACTTTCTCCACACCAGTCCTGATTTTATAGACCTCTCTCATATCCCTCCGTAGTCTTCTCTTTTCGAAGCTGAAAAGTCCTAGTCCTTTTAATCTCTCTTCATCTGACAGCTGGTCCAAACCCCTCATCATTTTTGTTCCCCTTTTCCGAACTTTTTCCAATGCCAAGATTTTTTTTTTTTTTTTTGCAATGAGGCAACCACATCTGCACGCAGTGTTGAGGATGTGGGCATGCCATGGGTTGACACGGAGGCAGTAAGATATTCCCTGGCTATTGATCGACCTGCATGCCTGGGTCTGAGCCCAGGGCAGCTGTCTATCACGTGGTGCCTTTCACAGCTCGTAAAGGGAAAAATTCCAGAGCGTGTCCCACTGTAAGGTCCCAGAGCCTCGAGAAGTAGACTCTCCGGGGCTCAGAACACACCCTTTGCCCAGATCTGTGCAGGGCATAGTGCTGACGTACTATGGTAATGGGACTGGCAGGTAATTGCACGGCTGGGGAGCTTAGGGTGGCATCCGTAAGCCCCAGGACAAAGCTAGAGCCCTGTGCTGAAAGACCAGCCAACAGTATGTTCCGTAAGGATCCGGCAGTGTGTTTCCCTGCCGCTCCCCTTTCTCCTGACCGCTCAGCCCGGGGGCACGGACCTGACCTGTTGCAGGTGTGTGATATCCGGGGGGGGGGTGCCTCCTGCCCTAGAGGAGCGGGCGGGACTCAGAGGCTCGCGAGAGCCGTGGGCAAGTCCCTGGCCATGGAGATGGTCCTCACCGGAGACAGGATCTCCGCTCAGGAAGCCAAAGCAGCAGGTACGGGTGTGAGCGCCTTCCCGCCAGGCCCCTCCCACGGCACTGGTGGTGCAGCCAGTCCCGGGGGGGGGGCTGGCT